TTTATCGGTAGTTCTGGGTTTTGTTGGCATTTTTGAACTAGAGTGTTGAATGCGGCTAGTCGTCTTGTTGCTGGTGGAGCGATGTTGCTTAAAACTGGAAGCCATTTGGTTGGTGTGGGCTTTATAGTTCCCGTTATGTGCCTTATTGTTCGGTTTAACTGGGTATCTATGACTTTTGTGTGATGACTGTTTAGCCAGACAGGAGCGCAATATTCTGCAGTAGGATATACTAAGGACAGCGCGCTCGTTCTTATTACCTCTGCATTCGAGCCCATGATGTATTTGCTAACTTATGGATAATATTATTGCGGGTCTTAATTTTTGCTGAAGTGTTTTCCAAATGCTTTTTGAATGTTAGGGTACGATCTAGAGTTACGCCGAGGTATTTTGGGTTAGCACTGTGCTTTAGACTGGTTCCATCGCATTCTATGTTTAGTCTGTAATTTGCCTTGTTGTTGTTTAGATGGAAAGCTGTTACTTCAGTTTTCGATGGGTTTGGTTGTAGGCCCCATTTCTTAAAGTATCTGTTAACAGTGTTTAGATCTGCTTCTATGGTGGATTCGGCGATGTTTATGTCTTCTTCTTGGGCACCCAAAGCCATGTCATCAGCATAAATAAATTTGCGCGAGGTGGTAGTTGGTACATCTGACGTATAAATATTAAAAAGAAGAGGAGACATAACTGACCCTTGTGGCAAGCCGTTTTGCAGGTTTCTGAAGTTACTATTTTTCCCATTTAGGTGTACTTGGAAAAGTCTGTCACTTAGCATTTGGTTTAACAACCTGTTGAACGCACGGCACGGTAACATCTGGTATATTTTATATAAAAGCCCTCCTTCCACACTGTGTCGTAGGCGCAGGTCAAGTCTATGAATGCTGCTACTGTTTTCAGTTTCTTTTGGAATCCGTTCTCAATAAATGTTGTTAAGGAGAGGACTTGGTCGCCACAGCTTCTTCCCGGCATGAATCCAGCTTGTTCTTTAGGAATATTTGACTTTGTAAAGTAAAATAGTCTCGTTTGGATTATCCTCTCGAAAATCTTGTAGCAGACGCTTAAAAGAGCGATTGGTCTGTAGCTCTCAGGTAATGCAGGGTCTTTCCCAGGTTTAGATATTGCGATGATCTTACTTTTTTTGAAGGATTTTGGAAACTTCTGCTTAGTTAGTATTTGATTGTTGAATTCAGAAGCCACTTTCTGGAATTCGGACCAATGTGTTTTATAAATTCAGGATAAATGTTGTCAACTCCTGCGGCTTTACGACATTTCATTAATTTTAGAGCTTCCTTAAGTTCTTCTGGTTCGATGAGCTTCATTATCGGTAGGCTTTGTTGTTAAGCAAGTTTGCCTTCTTTTAACTGAGATCGGACTTCTTTTTTATGATCTTTTTCTATTACTGGTTTAGAAAGGTTGGCTATGCGTTTGCCTATGTCTTCCGGTTTTGGAACTGTAAAGTTTGTTGTAGAGCTGTTTGGGCCAGAGTCTAGCTTCATTAGAAGATTCCATGCTGTGCGGCTGCTGTGTGTGAAATTAAAATTTTCTAAAGTTTATCTCCACCTTGTGGTTTTTGCGGAGTTAAGGGTTTCTAAGAGTTGTTCACCAACTTCAGGATCTCCAGATTTCTCATACTGATCAAGCAGTTCTTCACATTCGTCGTTCCAACATGGGATGTAGGATTTGGTAACTCCACGTGGAATGTGCTTTTTTGCACATCTAATCATTAGTGATGCGAATCTTTCATAATTTTGATCCTCGGATGGGAATAAGCCACAATTAAAGGTTAAAGTAAGTTAATTGAAGTTTCAATTTTCACTTCAGAAATCGTTCTGAAGTGGAAATTAAAACGTTAATAAACTTACTTTACCCTTTAATTGTGGCTTATTCTCATTTAAATATTAATTACTTTAAAATGTCACAAGAAAATAGATTCAGAACAATAGAGGAAAGGCACCAAATTTGAGACACTTTTTTTGAAAAACAAATATAAAACAGAATATTTAAAATTTTTAAAACATTCATTTCGAAAACTTAAACTTAATGTTTCTAGAACACAACAAAACAAAAAAAAAGCGAATAAAACATATATTTTTGCAAAAAAATACATTTAATTTTTTTGCGACATTTAATATTAAAAATAAAAGGTGCCCTAATTTGGGATAGTCAGGTATCTAAACTTGAGACAGGTACCTTAATTTGAGATACTATTCAAAAAAGCCCTTTCCTTCGCAGAAAAGGCAAATAAATGTGCTGGACTTTATTTCTCCACAGTCTTCATGTGCCCACCTGCCACATTGGTAACACTTTGCCCATCGTTCGCCATATCTATCGTCGGAAAATTTGCCGGTGCAAAATAAACATTCCGCGTCGTTTTCTTCACTTTCGTTGGACGATGAATCAGCTAATGGAAAGTTTTCACTGCTATCTGAGCTTGAACTCGAAGAAACTTTCCGCTTCCTTCTTGATGTTTTGCCTTTTGATGTAGAAGGTTGATCTACGTCTTCATCTGCTATTTCTTCTTCGGGCATTGCTGTTTTTTTTGATCTAACACCTTTTGTTGAACTGTTTTTTTCTGGAGCAAATACACAATCCAAGTTTAGCTGGGGTACTAGTTTTTTTGCTTTTTTCTTCTGCAAACTTTGCTCTAATTCTTCTTTGTAGGGTGTTAAAGTAATTATTGAAGCCTTTCCTGATCTGGCATGTGGTTTTTTAGTTGTATCTTTCTCGTAGAATCTAGGAATTGGACAGATGTCTTTCGGAGAAACAAGTTGTTGATGAGGTAGTGGTGGACTAGGAGTTCTATGTTCTTGTATTGGATGATTTGCTTGTTCATGGTTTATTTCTATTATTTGTTCATCCTTTTCGTTTTGTGTTTCTAAGTGCTCTTGAATTCCAAATTCAAAGTCCCTAAAAATATGGCGACAAATAGGGACCAGTCCAGTTTTGCGGAAACCATTGCAAGATATTTCCATCGTCGCAGCTTTGTTATACGCTTTACAAAAAATACTGGCAACGGCGTAAGGCGACACAACACTCAACTGATTTTCTCTAAGCCAGTTTTCTATTGCTTGTGCATAGTAAGTTTTCAGCGGTGCCATAAAAGCAACATCCAACGGTTGCATTTTATGTGTAGAATGTGGTGGGAGGCAAATAATCGTCACATGATTCTGTTTGGCCAAATCTATTAGAGCAACGTTTCTCGTATGAGAATAGTGACCATCAAGGACGAGAAGAACAGGGTCTGCAGCTGAAGGTTTAGTGAATTTTATGAAGTGTTGAAGCCATCTAGTGAAAATATCGGCCTGTACCCAACCTGACACATGGCATTCTGCGATTGCTCCAATGGGAGCTCCTAGCATCAACTCTGATTTCATATTTTTTCTGGGGAAGATTAATAATGGTGGTACGAAAACTCCTGCAGCATTCATACATGTAATAGCAGTAATCAGCTTGCCCCTTTCTGCTGAAGTAAGTGACGAAACCTGCTTCTTCCCTCTCATGGAAATTACTTTACTATGTTTGTGCTGAACAATTGTAAGGCCCGTTTCGTCTACATTGAATATACGTTGTGCAGGGTTAGTAAGCTTAAGATATTCTGGTTCATACAGGTCAAAGAACTTGGATACATTTTCAGGAGTAAAAGATTTTACTCGTGCACATGACATTCCCTGAGGAGTACGCATTGAAAGCGCCGGATGTCTTTTCAGAAAGAGCCTTAACCATTTCTTTCCGGCTGTTTTTTTGACTCCGCTAAATGGATGTGCTATTGAGTTTCGTATTGCAAGTTGAAATGCCAGTCGTTTTATATCACGCGCTCTTAGTCCGAAATAACGTTGCTCCATAATTAGGGCATACTCAACCAACTCATTTTCTAATTCCAAAGGAAGAATAGGTCGGCGCCCAATTGATATCCCGACAAGTTCTTCTGGAGTCTTGTCTGATTTCACATATCGTTCTAAGGTACCTTTTGGTACTCCAAAAACTTTTGAGGCCTTCAAATAGCCCATCTCTCTATTTCTTACTGTATTTACAGCACGTATCATATTATCTGCGTTCCATTTTTTATTTTTTGGCGGCATCTACAAACAACAAAACACATAAAAATAAAAAATTTACAAGGGGTCCTAATTTGAGACACTCTCAAATTTGGAACCTACAGGTATCTCAAATTAGGATTTTTCCGTTAAAAATAAAACGCATATTTTTTGGTTATGTATGACACACAATTATCGTTTAATTTGCATAAAATGTATTAACTAATATTAAACTAACAAAAAAAAATAATTGGAGTAAATGTAATCATCTTACCTTGATGTATTGTAAGTTTTTAAAAATTCCGAAAAAAATTTGTGTAATGTGTAAATCAAATTACCGTCGACAAAACAACAAAGGTCACTTCTAAGCGTCAACTAAAAGCAGATCTACCATTACTTCACAGAATGATCAGTTTTTAATATTTTAACTAGATGTCACACTATCGTACACAAATATACGACGGTGTCTCAAATTAGGCGCCTGTCTCAAATTCGGTGCCTTTCCCCTATTCTCAATCTCAATATTTTGTTCACTGGGTACAACACTTAAGACTACACTAAACAAATTAATACTGTTCAGAATAAACAAAACATATAATAAATAAGGACTTTTTAAACAACTATAAATCTATGACTAAAACACTGAAGCATTATGTTCGCATCGCAAGCGTAAAGAATTCAAAGAGGGCGAAGCGTGACGTCACGAGGAATCACCTGGCGCTTGTCACTTTGGCGAACGTATGTGTTATCGGAATGCAGCTAAAACTTCTTGAGAAAAACCATTTACTCATTGGTATGAAAAATAGAACATAAGCTAGTATTATGCATAGTTATCTCCATAAATGGTTTAACGTGTATCGATAATGAAAATATCAACAATTCCCTTACATTTATTTCAAACGTCAAAGACTCTTACTGAACGTTCTTTCAATATTCGTCTTTGTTGACAACAACTTGTCTCAATCAGCTGTCACTGTCAGTTAGGGAAATGGTTAACAGTTGTCAAAGTCGTAAAATTTTTTTGGAAATTCACCTTTTATTTTACTTTTCCCATGCGATATGAAAAAAACTTATAGTTCAGTTAATTTAGCTCTTCTTCTACTGGCGAATTTGTGATATCAAGGTATGGTTTCTGATAAATCGTAGTTAAAATTTTACCATATTTATAGTGTATTTGTTATCATATGTGAGACATACCCATAAAGATTTTATCCCTGTAATACTACTTTATATTAGAATGTGTTTTGATACACTGATGAGATATTTAAAGCAAAAATTACATGTTTTGTTTTGTGAGAGTAAAATGTTACCAAAAATGCCCACTCCTTAAGTCAAACTATAATTGCTGCATAATTTTCTAATAACACTTTAATGTTTAAGTATTTAACTTGGTGTTTTCCAAAACTAATTGTTTTGTATGTTAGCTTCTCCGAAACTCAAATTTAGATATTCATAAGTACAGCAATGAATCTTTTGTAGTAACAATAATACTTTAAAAAGTTGTATTCAGGGCTCTAGTTTCAAAAAAGAGTTAGATTGCCTTTGAATTTCATTGTTTAAAACTGTTTAAAGAATTTCATACTTTTAAATTGTTTAAATGTCTTCATATTCTATTTTATAATATGAAACATCAATATCAGCCTTTGTTGTGTAAATCTTGTTTATTGACATTTGAAAAACATAATCCATAATCTATATTATGATATAATGATAATGAATAATTCCATAAGGATGGATGGAAAATAAGGATCCTATATATAGATAAAGTATTTATATTTTTCACTAATGAGAAATTTGCAGTTGTACTTTTATTTGACATTAGATTTTAACCTAATGAATGGAACCAACATGAACATTGTACAGGTGAGACTAGATCAATGTTAAAAAAATAGATACTAGATTTTTTAATAAGACTCTAATAACATTACTACATAAAAGGGAAAACTAAAACTGTTTATTAGTGCAAATACAATTTTCTAATAAAACTGTAATGTTGCAGTAAACCAAATTTTATTCTTTTACAAGATTTTATGTCTGCTTAAAACACTAACTTGTTATTTCTTTAGTATTTATACTAATAACTGTTTTCTGCTATTAGTGATAGTGGGAGAATTTTGCTGTGTGTTGTTATTTATTGCATTGTGGATAGCCAATACTGTTTTTTCTTTATTTCATTGCCAAAGTGCTATATTGACAGTGCATTGTACTATGCCATATATTTAGCATTATAACTTAGCATTATTTAGCATTTAGTCCTTACAAACTACACACATCAGAATGAAAAGATGTGGTGTTGGATATTTGAATTTTTGAATTTGTAGAAATATTACACATTATCATAATTATTAAAAAAAAAAAATAATAATAAATTAACAGTCAAACACGTGAATGTGTTATATGTTTTAATTTATTTGTCCCAATATATAGTTGTTGGGGATTATATTTTTCATATCCTCATTTTTTATTTTACAACCAGTAAAAAGTGGATGTTGTCTATTTCATAAACTCTTCTTAATTGCCCTGCTTATCTATTATTGAGTTTTTGGTACTTCTTTTGTATAGTGGAGTGTACTTATGCATTTGCTTGTTTTTATAAAAGAAGTTTAAATATAAAAAGAATGTAGGCATTGTACCATGGTTTTCTGGAAACATGTGGATCACAAACAAACTTTATTAAAAATGTATAAAATATTGAACTAAAGGTTTTGTAATGTCAGCAAATCCTCTTACAACACGATGATAGTATGAACACAAACCCAAAAAGGATCTCAACTGATGCTTGTCTGCAGGCACTGGCCAGCTCTTAACAGTTTTTATTTTCTCAGAATCGGTTCTCACCCCTCAGATGAAATCACATGTGGAAGACTACTTTCTTTTGAAATAAATGACATTTCTTGGGATTCAATTCAGATTTACACTTCTCAATTCTTTGAATACACTGGTAAGGTTGTGGAGATGTTCATCAAAAATGGTAGGATGGTGAAGTGCCATAGATATTGTCTAATTGAAAATGAAATGCTGTCTTGGCTTTGTCTGCTGGCCTCGTTTCCAATTGCCAATATCCATTTTTCAAGTCTAATGTTGAGTACCATTTCACTCCAGTCACAATATCCAAGATGTCATCAATACATGGCAATGGATAACTATCCTTGACCTTAACATCATTTAATCTTCTGCAATCCACACAGAATCTAGTAGAGCCATCTGCTTTTAACCAAGACAACTGGGGAACTCATGGACTTTGTGATGGTTCTATTATACCTTGTTCCTGCATCTCCTCAACATTGTCTCGACTTCTTCTTGTTTTGTAAATGGGACTCTTCTAGGAGTTTTTTTTATGGGAGCAGCATTTCCGTTGTTTATTTTCCATTCAAAGCAGTTTCTGATAGTAGTGACACTCTCGAGAATACCCATCGAAATTCATTTATTTAATTGAATGAATGAGTTGTCGTGCATTCTAATTAGACTTTTTGCTGAGAGGATGCCTTTAGAGAGTTGTTGGATAGCTGGTTTGAAGATTCTGAGGACGGTAGTCAGTAGATCTGGTTCTGGTTTAGCAACAATAGGTACTATGATCTCGTATCGGGCTGGTAATAGAACATATTCTTTAACACAAATGTGTCATATTGTTTTACTTTTCAATCCAAGTTAACATTATGTTGAAGTAAGAAGTCTAGACCAACAATCACATCATTCATGATGTAGATTTTGTGTCCTGTGAGCTGCAACTCCACATCAGTATAACCCTGGATAGGAGTTATTATTAGGGTTGCTGTTGTTAAGGTATAACTTCTCTCGCATCAATGGATCTCTGAAACAGATATAACGATATCATTGAGTGGACTATAGTGTGAATTGCGCCAGTCTCAATGGTTATTTGACAAACTTTTCCATTAAGCTACTGCTGTTATATATGAGTTCACCAACTGTCATCCCTTACGGCTGGTTACTGCTCATATCCCTGTTCATTTTTCTGAGTTACTATATATATATATAATATATATATATATATATATATATATATATATATATATATATATATATTGGTTTTAGAACGTCTTTCGACGTTGTCCGATGCCTAACTTCCACGTTCTTCTATCATCCCATTGGCCGTCTCTAAGATCTCTTGTACTCATTGCTTTAGTTACCCCTTCTTTCCATGTCTTTTTGGGTCTTCCTCGTTTTTTTGCGGTTTGGTGGTACCCACTGCATAATCTTCTTGGGTAGTCTTGTGTCTTCCTTGTGTCTTGTGAGTTACTATATACTGACATTAATTTCTATGATGACCTAGTTCTCCACACTATTAACATCTAAGTGTGGCTGGAGGATTGTAGCGGCTCCTATCTTCTGTTTGCTTGAGAAAACCTTCAAGTCTTGTTAGAAATTCACCAAATTTTTCATTATCATTGGTGGCCTGAACCTAGGATATTCTTATGATTAACCAAAATTTGCAGCTGTACTCGGTTGTCCGTAAGGAGTATTGTATCGTCTGTATATCTGAAATTATTCACTATTGTTCCTTAAATTGATAATCCTTTATTGGTGTGTTCTAGTGCCTCTTTAAACATCTGTTCTGAGCACATATTATAAAGTAGAGTTGATGGTACACATCCTTTTCATATAGATATCTCTTTAGATTTTTGTTGGTCTACTCATATTATTGCTTTCTAAAAGCGGTATAAATTTGTAATGATTCTCACATGCTAATCATATATTTTTGTGGTCTGTAGCATGTTTGCCAGTTTTTTGTGTTGTATTTTGTCAAAGGCTTTCTCAAGACTTATGGCATGACATCGTAACATCCCGGAAGGGGCATGACTAGACCTACAAACCTTAATAAAAGAAGCCCAAAATAGTGATGAATTTTAAAAAGTCATGGCCAACCTACATTGGAGGCGACAGCAAGTTGTTTTATTTCCTTTGTTAGTACCTTGCAAGACCTCCCATATTTTATCAAATTTTTCACAGAACATTTTTAGAACAAGACACAAAACAATACAATTGCATGTTTACCATTGACTAAGTATTCTTTATGACTTTAAACCTTTAGATATGTGTAGATTAATATTTTTTTGTAGGCAGCTCATATTTCTCTCAGCTGATATTTTCTCTCATCTGGAATATCGTTTTGTTCACCCATTGTACTTTGTTTTATACAGTGCTCGACTAACTTCCCCAGTTGTCATTAATTTGTCCTTCCCCTTCTGATTATACTTGTTCTATATCCAATTCTTCATTTAAGAAGCTATCAAAATATTTATTCAAGCATATTTTCACCTCCTTCTTGTGAACTAGGATCATGTTTTCATATAGGATAAATTTTGTCAGATTATTCCGTTGCTTTCTTTATTTGGCTTGTATATCTTTATTTATAAGATTAGTTCTGTTAAATGTCCATTTTGTTTTTTAGACAATTCTGCTTTAGTCTTATAGTGCATGGAGAAGATTATTGTACCTTAGAAAACTTTGCTTTAATCCCACACAATTTCTATTTAAAGTAACTTGAAGTATTGATATTTCATATATCACATCTTCATAGTAATATTAAAAAACGGAATCCACGGAATATTATACAAAAAAGAATTTCAGAATTTCATACAAAAAATAATGGGAATGCAATATTAACAAACGATAACATCGAGGAAAGCTGGAAAAAATTGAAAACTAATATATTTAGAACAGCAATAGAATCACTTAGACAAAGGAAAGTAACGAACACTAACATATTAAAAAGAAAACTCCATGATTTAGAGAGGAAGTGAAGACAAAATGTGAAGAAAAGAAGAAAGCCTTTTTACAATACAGAACACAACAAACACAACAGTTATATAACCACTATAAACGAATCAGAAATGAAACAAATACTTTAGTCAGACAAATAAAAAGGGAACACTGGCAGAGCTTCTTAAAACAGATAGAACACGATTTCTACGGAACATAAAAAGAAATATGAAGAATGATTAGATGACAAAGAAAAGAGAAAAACGAACCATTAAAAATGAAACAAACACATTCAGAAGGAAACATTGGCAGACTACTTTCGATCCTTATTTGCTAAAGCTGACAATACTGAACCACCAACACCAGAGGTGACGACAAACGAAGTAAATAAATATTGAGAAGGAAGGGTAAAGGAAGCATTAAGGAAATTAAAAAATAGAAAATCACCACAAGCGGACAGAATACCGAAAGAACTCGCTAAAGTACTGAGGACCAGATATGACCAAACCTTTATTAAAACTAATCCAGAAAAAATAATTGAAAAAACAGAATTCCTCAAGAATTGCACACCTCTTAATACCTTAATACCTCTTAATACCTCTCTGCACAAAGGAAGACAATTGGACCAAGGGAATTACAGAGGAATTTATTTATTAATAATCAAAACAATCGAAACTATCTCTCAAAGCAACACAATAAAAGTAAAAGTAGAACAAGAACTAACTGACCATATTGAAGCTGGCAATGGGATAAGACGGAGTTTTCCTGTGTCCTCTATTGTTAAACCTGATTATGGATGAAATAATAAAAAAATAAAAAAAAGAGGTTAAATCTTTGTAAATGGGTATATTTAAAAAACCCTTAAAAGGGCTACATCAAATAACACAAACGTTTTCGGAATAATAATTCCATCATCAGGTTAAAAATGACTAAAATAAGTATAAACCATTTAATTAAAGCAAACGTGGTTTAACATTTATACAACAGCAAAATGGTTATGCTTACAGGTTAACATGCCTGAGCTACCAAAATATTAGGGTAAAAACCTTTTAAAATACACCGATGTTGTTAAAAGTCATGTTTAAGCGGATGACTTATGCATTAGGCAGCCTATGTTACTCTTTGTCGTATGGAGTGTGGTCTAAAAAGTGTAATTTGTGACAGATTAGCTTAGATCTATAGATAGATATGAAATTGTCCTTTTATGTTGCTCACATCTAGGACAAGGTAACAATTGAATAGTATATACTCGTATTTGTAGCTAATATAAGACCTCGTATTTAAATGAAATTGTTTAAGACTGGTCGTATGGTAAAAGAAGTTAATATAAGTGAGTCTAATAAATTGAATAAGGGTTAGAAATCTTGTGGCTGAAGAAATTAAAGTTATAACCTATGGAATTAAATTTAAAATTGAAAAGGCTGAGCTCCTCAGAGACTTGATAAGAATAAAAGTAAAGGAAATGACTAAAGAAGAAGGGGGAGGGTGTTAAAGGAAAATAAATGAGTTAATCAACAAATTAGAGATAATAGAGGCTTCCTTCATGCTTAAAGCATCTAGCACCCTGAACAAAATCTATTTTGGTTGTATTTAGTTCGGTTTATAAAAAGGCTGAAATTTGATGTGTGAGTGTGCTGTACTAAGTTGTTGACTAAGAGGGGAAACAATGGTTGATTAAGGATTTTGGTAAAGGGGGGAAATAGTGAATTCTAATAAATTGTTGGATTATGTTTAAATGGTTACTGTGTTTAAAACTAATGAGTAAATGGTTGATATATGAAATGACAGAGAAATAACAAAAGAAAGAAGAATGGACAATGGGGTTGTGACAATAGTATAAAGAGAATGGTTGTTTAAAGAAACACAATTATTGAATAGGATTAAGGTGTTAACGTTTGTAGAGGAAGGTCAGGCAAAGAAGGTGAGGCAAATTTGGGAAGTGTGGGCTATGAGAAGAGTTGTCTTCACACTTCCCAAATTTGCCAAAATATTTCACTCAAAACACCGATGAAAATAGATAAAGAAAAGAAAAAGTAGCGACATTTTGCCAAAGCGCAACCACTGAAGTGAACTTTTAAAATGGTCGACTTTTTCGGATACGATCGAGATGTTTGACACAAAGAAACGTGAGGTTTGCTTGTAGCACTAATAGCGCCAAATGTAAAGTACATCTATCGTTGTCCCTAGGTACAAGGTGTCCCAAGGTACACGGATCTCCCTTATAGTTTTAGTAAAAATAATTTTATTTTCTTTACCGGCCTTATAATTTTAAAGATCTTTGGAAGACCTACTTTCAGACTAAAGTCAGTATATTTCTTTAGTTTACATATTTTATCTTCAGAATGAAATACTTTAAATGCTCTACATGTTTTTGAGCGGAAACCAATGTGGGCACCCCCGACATGATTGAGAGTGATCTAAAGGTGTTCAGTTTGTCACCGACTTTCAAAGAGTTTGCATCATTCTACATCTTCGACATCTGTTGGTTTAAGGCCATCAAATATGAGCAGCATTATAGCATTTTATAAGTTTATATTACTTTTGTCATCGCATTAAGTAATAGAATATTTCCCAAAGAAATAATATAAAACCTTTTGGAAGGTTTTTCCAATTTTATGTAATTTTTTAAAATGATGAGTGTGGTTAGTATAATTTTTATTCATTTGTTGTAGATGATGACTATTATGTAAAGAAAATTTCTGAACAAACAGTAAATAAGGTAATAAACCCATTAGCACTGAGGTTATTAACTTTCTTACATCTTAAACATTTTATTTTTAATTTCATTATTAAAATATACATTTTAACAAAAATGTTCAGTGTTGGACAAAAACCAGTAGTACCACATCTCACTAGATTGTGGTTTGTTATAATACCTATGGGTAAAAGTTCGTTGATATGAAATAGGTACAAAATAATAAAAAATATAAACCTAAATGTTATATAAAATAAAATGAGTTTGACAAGTACAATTAATATATCATTGTTTCTTTGTTATTTAGATGTCTGACATACCTGTCAAGGTTTTAAGAAAGGAGACAAGAGACTTGATTTCAGCCCTATTGAATCCTAGGAAAGTTATACCTAATGATAAAGGCTTATCGAGGTACGTATAGATTTTATAAAGTATCTTACCATAGGATGTCAGTGATATTTTTGTTTACTGTTATCTTAATATAAACCAGATTACTTTTTTTATTTAAGCAATCATATCAACCACATGATCATTAGCGACTAAGGTTACAAATAAATTACATTAAATTGCACTACATTAAATTTTGTAGTACATAAGTCTTTATCTCGTTACAGAAGAAATTAATATTAAACATTGCTCATCCTTCAAATACTTCGGTATAACACTAACCTCTCTGACGAAAAGAGCCATCAAGAAATTAAAAACAAAATTAAACAAGGAAGACAATTGTCTAATGGCGGCACAACACTTTGCTATGTGTTATTTGTTATGCGGCTTCGGTGTATTCTCCCAAATATTTGTTTTTTGTCAGCGAATAACAAATACGCTACTCCACACTTGTGCCGGCGAGCCAAGCATGCCAAATATTTGCGTGTTTAGCAGAACCAAAATAGACGTAGACGTATTGATGGTCGCTGCAATTATTTTTATTTAATGTGGTTTACCAATACTTGTGTCATGTCATCAAGGCTTCCTAGTATAAATCCAGAAATCTCACTTTCATGGGTCCACGCCATTCCAAAGTAGGTACACCACAAATCAAAGCGTTAAGAGGTACAATAGTTGTATATAAACTCACAAATTTGTCGAATTAATGGTTCAAGAATAAAACGAGAATTACAATTAAGTTAGGTTGAAATAAAGAGCGAGATCACCACCGGTACGATCGAAGTGTGGGCAATCGACACGTACATTCGGCTTATTCGTGTCCTTTAAAGTGTGTCAAAAAACGACAAGTGGACGGATAGGCGTATTTGCTATTCGGGCATTGGCTTATGCGTGCGAATAAAGCAAATAATCGACGAATGTAGTTTCCACACTTCGTCGTATCCTGCCGAATATCGACAAATTTGTGTGTTTATATACAACTATAGTACCTATTACGCTTTGATTTGTGGTGTACCTTCCGTGAAATCTAGTGGAGACATGAAAAGGTAATGAGATTTCTGGATTTAAGTAAAAATAAGTTGCAACGACCATTAAGACCACAGTCCACGTCCATTTTGGTTCTTCCAAACACGCATGCCACATGCGAGTAGCGTATTTGTTATTCGCTGACGAATAACATAACACAGCGAAGTGTGGTGCCGCCAAAAGATCGGGGACAAATGTGTTGGGCTATAATAATAGACTATTTGTCGATTTAGGCTGCTGTCATTTGATATTAGTCACCGTATAAATAAGTATTGTAAGGAAAACGAGTTAATATTCAAAGTTTTTTTCTTAATATTCAGAGTTGTTAACACTACAATTCAAAATAATGTACAGGGTGATCCAATAATAATAGTTTATATCAAAGTTGTTTTTTTTTTAAATAGGACACCCTGTGTTTGCCGGTGTTCTTTGATTCTAGGGAACTAACGAAATAAATTTTCTGCAAATGTTGAATTATTTAAAGATTCCTAATTTGTAAGCGTACAAATTAACAATATTTTTGGCCTTCTCGGACAATTCTTGTTTTAAAGAAGCGGATGGGGGCTATGATTCTGGAGTTTTCAAAATCAATTTTGTGACCTGTATGAAGATGGTGTTGACTAGAGCTGAAATTGAGTCGGAATTGCGAACAGAAATGGAATGTTTATAAATCCTATTTTGGATTCTACGATTTGTTTGGCCTATATAGGATCGGGGACAGTCTGCAAAAGGAATTTCATAAACTCCCTGTTGTTCATTTGGAATGTTGTCTTTGATTGATCGGACAAGAGATGAAAGTTTTTGTTAAGGGGTAAATACTGTCTCAATTCCTCTTGATTTTAGAATTGTGTCGATTTTGTCAGTGACATCTTTGATATAAGGAAGAAAAGCTTTCGTATGATGAGGGTCTGAGTCTTTGGGTTGAGATTGAGTGGGAGATTGATGCTTTCTTGACATAAATGATAAATTGATAAATGATAAATTCCTAAATGATAAAGATAAAATGATAAATATGATAAATTCTTCTTTATTTTTTTAGAGATTGGCATGGGCTTGCTGAATTATGCGGAATAAGTGGAGAAATAATACCACATATCAAAGAAAGTAAAGATGCAGCTTTGAAGGTTTTGGAAATATGGTCTGAGAAAAATAAAGAAGAAAGCACCACTGCCAAGTTGTTGTCATTTTTAGAAAAACTAGACAGATTTGACGTTGTTGAGGACGTTGCACCTCTAATTGGTAAGCGTTTATTATTTCCAGTGTATTGCATTTCTGAACATTTCCTAATATTATAACTTATTTTCAAATCAAGTGTTTATATTTTATTTATAGTATAACAGAAATGACGTATTATAAAATACAAATTTTTTTTTAAGAAAAAGACGCAGAATACTATGCAGCAAATCCTGACGGCTACAAAGCCCAGCTTCAAGATATTGACGACAAAGACATTATAACACACGACGATACAGAACGAAAAAGTCTAGGTCTTCCACCACAAACTTACGATGCTTTCGTGATGTTCAGCGACGACGATATCAACTTTGCTATTGAGATCATTAACAAATTAGAAGTACAGTATAAAATGAAGTTGTGCGTTACTTATAGAGACGTCATAGGAGGAGAAAACAATCATGATGCTGTGATTAGGTTGATTTCCACCAGGTGCAATAGAGTGGTTGTTGTAGTGTCACCTTCATTTTTGGAAAGTCCAACAAACAAATATTTTTATACTTTGGCCAGAATGGAATCAATTGGTAAGTATTATTTTAAATCATAATTAGTGTATAATAAAGTCCAGTTTTCTATTCTTTGGGGAATTTTTCCTTTCTTCAGGCGGTTCGGAAGACTTAGCTCTGTTGATTGATTAGCTCTGTTGTTGTGCATGTTATCTTGCGTTGTTGGTTCATTTATGTTAATTCTTAGTTTGTTGACATTAAGGATTATATTTTGTGCGTCTTCTGGTTGTATTGGGACTGCACTTAGAGACTCACTGAAATGTGTATGCCATCTTTTGACTTGTTCCTGTAGCGATGATATATCTTCACCTGTATTGCTATACAAAAAGGGTGTACATATGTGAACTTATGAATATAATTTCATTATATGAGGACTGTATTACATAGGGCTGGTTCAAATAAATTAGGATGTGTAGCAAAGGGTTATACAGAGTATAGCAAATCAAGTTTATAAAAGTCTTACCAATACTTCTTCTGTAGACACACTCGCGGTATTTATAGGCTTGCACTCCCGGTTGTTCTTTGTACGGGAAAGCTATGCAGGTTACCAGTTTTTTCAACACGTGTCTCGCGGTACTAACTTTGAGATCACTAGATAGAGCACATTCGCACAGGGAAGAGAAGATTACGTCTGCTCCTAGCGAAAATCAGCAGGCGATCAAGAGAGCCTCTTCTTGTTTACTATCCATCAAATATATTATTCAAACACTAAAGATAGAATGAATGACACTAAATATTAATGTCCAATTTACATAGCCATTCAATTGCTTCTGGGGAACATTCTGCAAAGTCCTGGAGGTTTCCACGGTAGGCACGATTCAATCAGTCTGAAACACAATGGCTTATGGTCTGTCTAGATTGTCTGCAATCGCACTGTGGACTTTCTGCACGACCCCACGTGAACAGCGAATCAGCACATTTATCATGTCCGGTACGTATACGATTAAGCCTTGCCCAAGTGGACCGGGGCAGATTTGATCCGATGAAACCCTGAGTTGGGGTGGATATCTTAATATAGTCCGATTCTACTGTTGGCATCCATCTTGATGTCCATTGCCTATGTATATCATGGGAATTACCAATTTTTCGGACAGATCGTATTGGAGGATTTCTAGATCTCAGTCGCTGGTGCTCTTTTGAGATGTATTGGTAATTGTACGTTGGCTACAATTTTCTGGTACTCTCTCACTAATGCTGCTGTACGGCGTAGATCTGGTGGAGCAATATTGCTCAGAGTAGGCAGCCATCTTACTGGCGTGGGTTTTATTGTTCCAGTGATTATTCTCATGGTTTGGTTAAGTTGGACATCGATTTTGCTTGTATGTGCACTATTTACACCTGAAATGGAATAGGAGGGGTTGGAGTAGGGTAATGATTGTAAAATTGTGGTAGAAAATTAATATAGCAAAAAATTGACATGATTTGTCGTATGTGAAAATTGAACAATTGCATTTTACCATTTGTTAGTTGGTAGCATCTTTTGTTGGTTAGTTGTTTAATAATACAATTGTCTCATGTTTTGAGGTTTATCGGTGAGCCGCACTTCTTCAACAAGGTTTTCCGTCCACTTTCTTCTGTCTTCCTTTTCTGCCTTCTTGACGACTTAATTCGCTTTTCTATAACTTTATCCAAGTCGTCTTCTTCTCTGCTTCTGTTCTAGAAATTAGTAGTTCTAGATTAATGTGGTTGCGGCGTTCTATTTTGATCCATGTTTCTCTGGTGATCCACTCTTCTTTATATATTTATTTACACCCAAAATGTTTTCACTTGTTTCCGCAAGGACATTGCTTATCGTTTTCCAATTTTTGTCCTGTCATTTCGTATATTTTAGTTAGTCTCTGTGGAAGTTTTAAAAATCTATTAATCGTTTAATCGTCAATCTTGCGTCTGTTTCTGATGCCGGGACTGCCAATTCTAGCTTGTATACTGGCGTCAGGAATTCCTGGATTGAGAATATGACATTTCATTTATGTTCATGGTAATAAGGTTATACCGCATATACTCGGTCGTTAAAGAATCGTTGGTTATCTATAGCAGGATGCACCGTGTGATCAAGTGTCACCGCTCGAGCAGGTGAGGAACTTTTCTCCAAATTATTCTTCATTTTCTTCTTTCTCTTAGATCGAGTAGCTCTCATTTGCAGTATATACCATCAAAATAATTATTTCCATTCATTTCTCTAAAGAGAACCGTCTCTTTGACAGGTTCGCTGTAAAGTTTCCAAGATTTCAAATATCTTTCGTATTGTGTACCATTATTGATATCATTGATCTTTCCCTGTCACTAAGAAGAAATTTATATTGAACTTTTTCATTTATCTTTTTCTTCGTTTCCGAAAGATGTCGACATCTAGGTGCGATACACCTTTATGCATTTTGTTTTTTAGAAACGAGAAGACGAAAAATTATCCCTTGTATATACAAGAAGTGCTTTGAACTGCCTTTGGAATTTCGAGCATATCATCTTCTAGACTTCACTAGAATGGAGTCTATGTTCGGAAACTTTTGGGATCAGCTTTACAAATCAGTCAAAGTTGTGACACCTCCGTCCACACAATGTGATGTTACGTCGTCCACGAAATGCGTTCCTCCAATAACCGAAGCTGCCATAGCACCAAGGAAAAAGTAAGCATTAAATTTTAAGTAAGTCAAGTTTAACAAACTTATCTTTCGATCGATTTTAGCATTGAATCAACAAAGTCCACGAATCACGTCAAATTCGAATTTTTGGACAAACCTACAGAAGTGCCTAAAGTTGAGAATAAAACACTACCCGTAGAAATTCCTGTAGAAACTCCAGAAGCTCCTCAACCAACTCCATCCACTGAAGAACCCGCCCACACGGAGCTGAAAAAGAAAAACTCTTTTATTCGAAAGTTCATGAAAATCGTTCAAAAACACGATGATAAACCAGTAAAAGAAGTACAACAAATTAACGGAGTAACTCCGAAGAAAAAACGATTCTGGAAGAAGAATAAGTTAAAAATACCGGTGGCTAATTGATGAACGTGGAACATATAATTGAGGTTATGATTATTAGGTATCCATGTAATTTCTCACAGTTATTTTGTGATTCTATGAAAAAAAACAAGGTTACTATTAGCCGAATAATATGTAGACATTTATTGGAATGATTGATACATTTTTCTGGAGTGTCTATCAAATATACTGGAACGTTATTTTTCTTGAATCTTCAATTTAGTATAAGCTAATAAAAATTATTTAGATTACACAATGATGTCTATCGGTTCTCGGCAGTCGAGTGTAGTAGGTACTCACTTTATAGACGATAATTCGTGTGTTTAAATCACGTAGAGATGGGTGCGTTGTATTCTAAAATTATAGGAGCTCATACAGCTTCCAATTGTGTCAAAATGTGTATTCGCGGCTGACAGGTCAACAAATAATAAATAATATTTTAAAAACTTTCCGTACTCTGATTAAACGTTTTTATTATAGGAAAGTTTTTATTCACAAAAAAAACGATTGTGGCAGTCCAGTGGGACTGCCGGTAGAAATTATACATATTTATATGGGAGTCAATATGCACAATCATTACATAAGAGAGAGCAGAAAGAGAAACATAATTAGGTATATATGTATATGGTGCATCATTTGCTGTATATAAACAACATTTGACCTGTAATAGGAGTATAGTAAATGAACGATTGAATCAATATTTTGATGAAAATGTATATTTTTATTTTCATATATGTATGAAAGAAGTTGAATGCAAAAAAATTTTTACACATACTCTGCAGTAAAATTCATTGTTTATTTTGTTATTAATATAAAAATACAATACAATACACTGCAACATAATTCAATATAATAATACAATACAAATTAAAATGCAATATTCATAAGTATTTAAAAATGACAATATACATAACTTACTTACGCATATGTTTAATTTACCATGATAATAATATTAATAAAATAAAAATATTGTTTCGTGATATAACTGTCAATTTGTCTGCCATTGACAGATACAAAATTTAATTGTTGTTTGTAGTCTATAATATAATATAAAAATAATAATAATATTAATAAATAGTAAATATATTTACAAAATGAACATTTTTATTCTCGATAGAGAAATAGAGAGAAAATATATCTTCTGTCTCTCTCTTACTTATATCTTGCATATGTAATGATTTTGCCGATTCACCCGCGTACAAATTTCCAACGTCGAACGCGCGTATAGAAGTATAACTTCAATAATTAATATGAATGTTTCTCGCTGGCCCCCATTGTTGACGAAGAATTCATTTATTTGATTTTGAATTACCTTATTGTAGTAACTGAATTCTCCATCCCATTTCTCCAGCAGGCCGCGCAACTGCTCACTCTAAATTATTAGCAGCATCAAAAATGTAATATCACTCAAATGCAATAAAATTTACGTGAATAGGTCTCCAAATTACAATCATTTCGTATAATTGCGCCAACTCTGAATTTTGATTAATATATATATATATATATATATATATAAATATATATATATATATATATATATATATATATATATATATATATATATATAATATATATATACAGTGGTGAGTGCTTTATCGCCCGGCTTTTTAACGTAAGAGATAGAAAACACAGTTACCTTGTGAAATAAAAAGAGATGAAACTCGTAAAGGTGGGAAATAATCGATAGAAACCTATAATTTACATTACATTACATTACCACCGTCGATAGTCTCACACCTTTAGACTAGAAGTGTTTAAAGTCGCTTTAAAACCAGGCAAAATAGCGGAAAGGATAGAAGATGGATTTTGTGAGAAAGAATGAGATAAAGCTAGTTCTTAGACGTGGCTATTTGACTTCAGTCATAATTATACGGATGACCGCGAAAATATTTTATTTTAATAATTTCTGATGTAAGAATAAATGATTAAATAAATTAAGAATTAAAGTAAAAAACATTAATTAGTAGCGATTTTAAATTATAAATCTTTAAGTTTATTTAATAATAAAAATAACTCAACTGAAATATTTCACTAAACTAAAGGTAGGTATGTTCTGTGCGAAAACATTAATTGTATGTGGAGTTGGTGTAATTATTAGACACGTAGTCTACTGACAAGAAGATTGGGGTTCAATTCCCACCAAGGATAAAATTTTTGTTTTACTCAATCAAAAAATAATAGAAAATATTATACATATTAGGTAACAAGTTTTCAAAAACTCATTATTTACAATTTATTCTTATTCCAATGTTATAAAACGGAAATACAAAATAATTCAAATTCAAAAAGATATTTATGTGTAACTTTAAACACTTCTAATACTAGTAACGACTGACATAAATGTTTAGTGATTCAAATCAAAACGATCTCTGCATAATTTCAAATTATTAAAAAAAAAAAAGAAAACCACATATGGGTTTTGAACTCTAATCGTCTGCGTCGCAGTGTCGAATTCTTACCACTAATCCACAAAGGACTGATGTTTATTTCCGTGACAAGAGTGTATGAAACTCCTCAAATCATAGAAATTATTTTTGGTTATTAATTTAAAACCTTAGATTAAATATTCACTAATAATTAATTTATTGTATTCACATTTTTGCTTTTAATTGTGGTCAATCATTTTTTACTTTATGCAAATTTAAAAAAATGTCACTGAAATACGTTACACATACGACGTGACAAATAATAATTATGACCGAGGTGATTTAGCTGAACTAACGTCTAAAGGTGTGAGACTATCGATAGTGTTAATGCAATGTAATGTAAATTATAGGTTTCTATCGATTATTTCCCACCTCTACGAGTTTCATCTCTTTTTATTTCACAAGGTAACTGTGTTTTCTATCTCTTACGTTAAAAAGCCGGTTGATAAAGCACTCACCACTATATATATATATATATATATATATATATATATATATATATATATATATATATATATATATATATATATATACATCCTACTATCATTTTGGCATCGATACATTATGCTTTTACCATCAATTTAGCATCGTCTTGCAAAGTAGCATCTGTATATCGACGCTACTTTACAAGACCTTAATAACTTTTTTCCTGTACTTGTTACAAGAATTTTAACCATCTCAATGATTAGAGATTTGATACCGTGTTGGTATTTTAAAATGTCCGCTTTCTCTTTTTATCCCTTACTGAGTTATATAAGTTTATTCCAGGAAATGTTTGAGTCTAAAATGATGGTACAGTGAAAATATTATATATATTTAGTTCAGGGTTTTACCGTTTACTCGCTGCCATTATATACATGAAAATGTATATCGCACTTTCATTATCAATCATTTTGGCATCAGAAATTTGGCATCGCTGTTGAATATAATATTACCCACAACGAAATGGTAAATTTAAGAATTTATATATATTTTTTTCATCCATAAATCATTCTAGCATCTTGTTTGATTAAAAATAACGGGTTATATATTGGGTATATATAACGGGGTATATATTGCATATTTTTGCTCCAATTGGTCCAGTCGTTATGTACAGCACCTCAAATGATAGGATTTAACCAATAAAATACAATAAGACAGAAAAGCAGCATGTCAAAAAGGCCTTAGTTATATATCTTCGTTTCTATAAGTCCAATCGTGACGTACAGTATCTCAAATGATAGGATTTAACCAATCGAAAAGAATGAAATAGAAAAATCAAATACAGCAACATGTCAAAAGGGCCGTAGTCACGTATTTTTGATCCTATTAGTCCAATCGTGACGTATAGTACCTCTAATGATAAGATTTACCGTAAGGAATACAATGGGATAGAAAAATGAAATACAGCACAATGTCAAAAGGGCCTTAGTTGTGTATCTTCGGTTCTGTTAGTCCAATCATGACGTGCAGTACCTCAAATGAAAGGATTTAACAAATAAAATACAATGAGATACAATGAGGTAATGGAGTTGCATGTCAAAAGGGCCTTAGTTATGTACCTTTAGTCCTTTTAGACCAATAGTGACGTACGATATCTCAAATGATAGCACTTAACCAATCTTCTTCTTACGGTGCCTTATCCTTAAGGACGTTGGCCATTACATTTGCCCATTTAATCTTATTTGTAGCAGTTCTGAATAGTTCTATGGAGGTCATGTTCGTCCATTGCCGTAGGTTTTTAGAAAGAGTTGCAAGAGTTTTTTTGCAAGAGTTGCGAGAGTTTTTTTGCAAGAGTTGCGTCTTCTTCCTGGTCCTCTTTTGCTATTGACTTTGCCTTCGATTATAAGTTGGAGCAGTTCATAATTTTGACTTCTTATGAAGTGACCAAAATATTGTGTTTTCCGTTCTTTTATTATAAGCATAAGCTCTCTTTCCTTATTCATCCTCCTCAAGACTTCCGCATTCGTCGTATGGCTCATGTAGGATATTCTGAGCATTTTTGGATTCTTTTTTGTGTTACTTCTGTCATTGTCCAGGCTTCAACACCATACAGCAGGGTGGAGAAAACATAGCACTTAAGTATTCTAGTTCTCAATGAGATACCCAGCTGGCGGATGATAGAACTTTTTGCATTTTGTAAAACATTGTACGTGCCTTTTTCAGGCGTATTCTTATCTCTAGTGAGTGGTCCCAAGTTTCATCAAGATTACTTCCAAGGTACGTTGTTCTTGTTACTCTATCCAGATCTGTTCCGTCGACATTGACCCTCACCCTTCTGTTTTGGTGCTTGCTGATGATCGCCGTTTTTGTCTTCTTTGTATTCAATTTCATTCCAAATTCTCTACAGGCTGTCGTTACTCGGTCCATTAAGCGTTGCAGGGCTTCAGCATTATTTGCCAGTATGACAGTGTCATCAGCATATCGCAGGTTATTTATACATTGCCCGTTTATAATTATACCATCCGAGGTGCCTTCCAAAGCTTTCTGAAATATCTTCTCAGAGTAAACATTGAACAGCAAAGGTGATAGGACACATCCCTGTCTTACTCCCTTCTCGATATTGATTTTTCCAGATGTTTCGCTTTTTATTCTGATTTTAGCCTTTTGTTCTTGGTAGAGGTTTGAAATGATCCTTAAGTCTTTATCGTCGATATTACATGACCTTAAAATATTTATTAGTTTATAATGTTTCACCAGGTCAAACGCCTTCTGAAAGTATATAAAACACAAGTATACATCAAAATCGACATCTCTACATCTTTCAACTAGCACACGTACTGAAAAAAGTGCTTCTCTTGTTCCGTACCCATTCTTAAAACCAAACTGAGTTTGACCAGTGTGTTCGTCTAGTTTATTGTATACTTTATTGTGTATTACTCGTAGGAAAAGTTTCAATATATGATTCATTAGGCTAATAATCCTATGGTCTTCACATTTC